GTATGAAGGTGGTTTGAATTTCCTCCCCTGTGTACAATGGGAGCTTTTGTCTAAGACCGAGGAGTTATTTTCAAGTTTTCCATGTTTGTTTGACAGTAATTTTCTGCTCCAAGTTCTGATGCTGTTCCAGTTTTGTTCCTCTGTCTCTGTTATCCAGTTAACGTTGGCCAGCATGGCACCATGTCCGTGAGTCTGTGGTGGGAAGTTTGGTGGTAGAGGGACCAGGTGAGCCCTGGCAGGAGGGTAACACGGGTTGACCTGTGATGGCAGCAGGAAGTGTGGAAACAGGAGTGGGTGTGCAGGGGGAGGCACAGAAGCCCCTGGATGGCTGGGGGAACATCCCAAAGCCATGCAAATGTTGTCTGCTGCACATATGACCCTTGAAAGGGTGCCTCTGCTTCAGAGATAGGTGGGGCTCCCAGATTTCTGCTGAGCTGTCCATGTGTCCTGAGGCAACCGGGTGACCATGCACTCTCAGAAGGGCCCCCATGTGTGAGGTAATTCCCTAGTCCTGGCTGGTTTAAAATATTTAATAAACATACCATCTGCCCAGTAAAGACTGTAGTATGGGCTACTAAGTTAAATCATATTCCAGAAACATGAGCTCATGCTTCAGACTGACAAGTGCCTGTGGTAAGACAGGACTGAACTCCCGTGGCTGCTGCTTCCCTCCCACTCTTGAAAGCATTGCGTATGAGATGCACTAAGGATCAAAATGCTTTATTGCCATGGATTCTGCTGGGAAAAATAGTATGAATCCAATGTATGAGCATGAATACCAGAGGCTGCCACAGATGCCAGTACAGAAGTATTTGCCTAGATCCTGGGTCCAAAAAATTAAAAGTATGTTCTAGTAAGAAAAACATTGAGTTGTCTTGTTTTCCTTTACTCAGCTTGGGTTTATTTAGTAAAATCTTGGGGAACTTAGAGGTCCCATTTGTATTCTTACATGCTCACTTTGTACTGTATTTTTATCTTCATTGGATGTTTTTTATTAATTATGAGCCAATTACTGTTGCCTAAAACAGTTCTTGCATATTAATATAAGAAGAGTTAATAAAAATTTCAGGACCCCTCTTGATACTGGCCATTCAATGATGGCATTTGCATTTTAATCCTATTTCAGGTTCCACAGGAAAATCTAATACTCAGGGTCCAGACAGTTATCTAGGTGGGATCTCAGATGATTAGGATCAAGAAATGAATAAGCATGTTTGTGTTGCCTGGACACTGCAGCCATCAGTCCAGTGGCAGCTCCTCGTAGGACAGATAGAAGTTCTCCTTTTGCATTAAATGGGCTATAATAAACACAGATTGAAAATACTAATGTGTACAGAAATGACACAGAGGTCAGTGAATTGAGCAGAACAAATAGGGAATTGCAGAGAGGGGCTGTGCCTGGAGAGGCAGATGCTGACCCTGCTGCAGACTGGCCACTAGTCGAGGGGCAGGACCATCTCTGTGTTCTTCTGTTCATACAAGTTTTGTAAAATTAAGCTGAGGGTAGAGAAAAGCACTAAAAAACTATGTTCCAGCCATGAAAACATGGAGTGCTCTGAAAAGCAGGGGGTAAAAAAGGCAAGTCTGCCAAGTTCAGGGTGGCAAAACCTGAATGAGATGGGAAGCCTTGTTACCCTTTGGATGGGTGCCGTGCTGAGGGCAATGTCACTTCACCTCACTGAAATCTGTCCTGAGGCCAGCAGTGTGAGCAGCCTCTGTCACAGGGGCAGTGTTCTGGCTTGGAAGTCTCAAGTGCCAAATATATTTTGCCAGTTAATTACTTAGAATAACTTATTTTTGCTTCCAGAACAGCAACAGTGCTGGATAAAAAGCACTAATTATCCCTTGTCGTTCCTCCTTCCCTTGGCTGCACGAAATCAGTAGCCCTCTGGAAGCACAGCTGGTTGTGCAGCAGGCTGAGCCCACCTGGCTGTGTGGGCCCACATGGGGTCTGATTCCAGAGGTGTGCAGGAATGCTCACTAACAGCCTCTCCAACGTAGTATTGGGGACTTGATGAGATCAGCAGCTTGGTAGATCTGCCTTGTACCTTTTAATCCTCTTCCCTTCCCAAAAGGCTCCTGCTCGCAGAGCTGCATCCCTGCTCTCCATGTCCTTCCGAGGGCAGTGGATGGGCTGTGCAGAGCTCGGGCTGGAGGGGTGGGTGCAGATGCTGGGAACCCCTGGCACACTGCGACTCTGGAGATGGGAACAGCAGAGCCGTGTCCGTCCTGCTAAGACAAGGATAGGAGAAAACATTTCCCATTGACGGAGATGCATCTGGTGCCAAATTTCAGCTGAGAGCGAGGCTTTTTTCTTGCACGGTGCTTTGTTCCTGGAAAGTGTGATACAGAGACTGAAAAAATGAAAGAGATGGTTCCAGCTGTTTGTATTACACTGAGGATGCAGAGCACCAGGGTTAGAAAACACCTGCTGTTCCTGTCTTGTCTTTAGCGAAACATTGTCCTCTCCTTGCTTTAATCTTCTTAAAAGGAATTGATCATTTTTTATTACTTGGGATCACTGGAAAATTAATGTAACTGTTGCTGTAGAGTGAGCACTGTAGTATCTTCACATAATGGGATTTAAAATTTAAAGCTCACTCAGCATGGGAAGGCTCTGTCTGTGTTGGGACCGGGAGCCGCTCCTTGGCTCACTCCTTCAGCTGCAGCTGCTGGCTCCCTGCCTTCCCTTTTCCTCTCCTCTTCCAAAGGGTGATTTTCACCGTTTCCTCTTTGCAGATTTTTTCCCTTGATACAGTGTCTTCATTCCAATGCTAAACTAACTTGTGAATGCCTCTTGGGGAGGAAATAGGTGATGTGAATGCTTTTTATTTATTTTGTTAAAGGTCCATGGGGAACACAGTGTGTGGAGAGCCTTCTGTGTATGCTGGAAACTGGAGGAGGAAGGAAGGAAGGGTTTTTTTTTGCAGGAGAAAAATGGGCCAAAATCTTCCTTTCAGTTATGATTAATAGGTTTTTCTTTTGGGCTTTGAATATTGTGTTTGTATTCAAATTAAGTGGCTTCCAGGGGGGGTTTCCAGGAATACATGTGGGGAGCGGATAAAAACCCTTTCCATGAAGGACGTTCAGAATGTGCGGAACTGAACTGCACGTTTGTGGGTCCTGCTCTGTCTTGTCTCCTCCTGTCACCTGGAGCCTGTGCAGGGCTCAGAGGATGGGGACTCTCCTTTCTCAGCGTTTGGGATGTGCCAGTGAAGCACAAGGTGCTGAAGAAGCTCACACAACACATGGAGCTCTGCGCTGGAGGCTGCGTGTCCGTGCCCTTCTCCCAGAGAGCTGAATCAGACAGGCACGGCTGCCCTGGACCAGCCTTGTGGGCTGGAAAGGTCCCTGTCCAGAGGCGTGCTGTGTCAAACTCCCTCTGTCATCAGGCAGTAAAGAAAGTAATTAAATGGTAATTCTGAAAAAAAAAAAAAAAAGGGACTTAAAAGTGTACAGCATGATTTAGATGACAGGCTGCTCGCTGCTGGGAGGGCTCACGCTTGGTGGCTGCTGCACGTTGTTAGTTCTTTGTATTCTCTTTGATTTAAAGCTTCATGCTCGTAATCTAATTAACACTGAATTGGGTTTCCAGTACAGTGGCTTGTTTGGTTCAATAAGAACACATTTATACTAAAGGTTAATGAAAAGAATTTTGCTTTCATCAAATTTATTAAAAGGGGTTCTACAATCAAGACTTACTAATGGAAAAGAGATTAAATATTCATGTCTCTAAATTTCTCGCATCATTTTTGATTTTCCTTAGTCTCTGCCTTCCTGGATTGGATTCTGAAAGTGCCTGAATGCTTTAATGAAATACCAGTTTGGAAATTAATTGGAGATTTGTCCTGTTTAAATAAAAAGACTCCCACAGATGTATACCTAATGTATCTTGAGCACAGGTCTCTGCTATTACGGATGGAGAGAGAGAGCGGTGGGATCTTAGCCATGAGATCAATACTGGGAGCCAATCTCAAGGAGCAGTATTGGTTCTTAAAGCACTTTTAAAGAAATGCAAATAATGTTTTATCTTCTTTATTTGTACTATTGAAATAGGCTTGAATGAACCCAAAGTGCAGCAAAATTTACATCAGAAAGATATTAGCTGGTCATGAAGATAAAACCTGAATAATGGCATCCAAGGTGCTTGAAGAGTCAAGACCTTTATATAACAGTGTCCAAATGTGTGTGCTACAAATACCTGAATACTTTGAGCAAATATTGGATTGTGTTTCTGTGGTCTCTTTCCCAGTAGCTCCCAGGCAGTCCTGGATACCCTTTGGGCCAGGGCTTTGCCCCTGTGTGTGAGCAGAGCATGTGTCTGAAGTTCCTGCTTTGTGTGTCGGTTCCTTGTGTCCCAGTGTAGGGAGGTGTGGGAGCTCTGTTTGGGAGTGCTTTGCAGCTCTGTGTTGATGTTGTTGCTAGTGTAGAAACAGAAATACATGGTGAGAGGAGATACAGGTTACTTTGAGGGTGTTGCACATTCCCTTAAAGGGTTTCCTGGGAAAGAAAGAAACAAAGACACTGCTCTTGTAAACAGGTTCAGAATTATGAGTGTCTGGCCTCAGTCTGAGAAGCGCATGTGGATCTGTGTACAGGGGGGTGTGTGTATATGTGTGTGTGTGTTGTATTTAAAGTGCACCAAGCAAGTGGGGCAGTGCTGGGCAGTCTCGAGAACGAGCATCTGGTTATAAATAGTTAAGAATAAGTATTTGGCCAAGTCCAAGGGGAAAGCTTTGCCTTACCAGTAGTTACCAGCCCTGGTCTCCAGAACAGATCAGAGGCCTTTCAAAGGCTGAGAAGGTGATCAAAGTGAGAGGGGTCCACGCTGGGGGCAGCCACAAACCAGACTGTGGTGTTGGGTGGTTTTGATGGTAGCCAGAAGTCAGAGTGTGATGCTATAGCCTGGTGTCCACCAGCATGAGGTCAGGGCAGCTGTGTTATTTGTGAATATTTGTGACGGGTCAGTGATGGGCATTCCTGTTCCCTCTGTTCCTCAGGCATACTTCCGACAGGGCGTGGCCCTGCAGTACCTGGGACGCCATGCGGATGCACTGGCCGCCTTTGCGTCGGGGCTGGCGCAGGATCCCAAGAGCCTTCAGCTCCTGGTTGGCATGGTCGAGGCCGCCATGAAGTCTCCCATGCGAGGTAAGCACTGGGGGGGTTCTCAGGGGTGGTGACCTCCTGCTGAGGTATTGGGAGTTCCAGTCCATGGGTGATTCTGACAAGATCCTCGGATGGGAGAACTTGCAGGCCTGAAGGGAAAGATTTTAAGATTTGGCTTCTCTGCTGAGTCAGGAGAGTGCTGAGAACAGCAGGAGGAACAAAAACTATCCTTCTGATTGAGTGGGATAGCAAGATGGTGATACCCAGCTTGAGGGGCACTGGAGATAAACTGGGTTTGTATAGCAGTTCCCATGGAGTCCTTGCTCGTTTGTCCTTTCTCCAGTATCAGTGCAAACAGAGGCATGTGGGGCTGTGGCCCTGGCTGTGCCATTGCTGAAACAACTTCCCACAATGTTTTGGTGCTTGACTGTTGGGAACAGGGCATCTGAAATGCTCCAGGCCAGTGTTAGCCCAGAAGAGCACATCAGCAGCTTTTCTGTGGTACTAGTGTCTCTCAAAACAGCATTCCAGAAGGAAAAAAGGCTGCTCTGCTAATTCCCTTCTGTTCAGGCAGTATTTGAAATCACAGGGACCTTGAAGCCATATGAGCTGTGCAGCGTTTTGCCTCTCTTTAAAAATGTCCCTATTTACAGGATTTTTCTCTCTAGAGGAAGGAGGTCATCTCCTCTTTGCTCTGTTTCTCTTGCAGGCTTTGTGTTGCAATGTCCTAATGCTGTTATCCAGGAGGGAACATGGCAATTCTCGTCCTCAGCAGATGGTGCTGGGGGCTGCAGGGTTTAGGAGCCAAGAAGCACTGAAATGAAAAAATATCCCTGTTGGTGTTTCCTTTTTTGCATCCTCCAAAATGAATTCATCTCGAAATTTCTGTCCTATATAGCAGTTACCTTGTGAAGGTAATTTCATTTGGTACCCAAAGGTACTGAGGCTGCTGCTTAGCATGCAGGTGATGTATTGTGTGTGAGCATCCCCAAATTTGGCTGGATGATCGCTGACCCGTTTCCCTGCAGCTGTACATCAGCTGTGCTCCCTGCTGCAGTTAGACCAGTCAAAGCAGCTGAGCAGGTCCAGTGCTGTCATTCCAAAGGAGCACCATCTCCTACCAAAGAAGACCTTCTTTCTCTCTTGGCATACATCGTGTGCTTTGGGTATCTGGACAGGCACAGCCTTTGCAGATGTTCAGCTGAAAGTTTGTGCTGAAGGAGCAGAAACTGTAATGCTCTTAGACACTGCTGGTGGCCCATTTCCAGTTTCCTACAAAATTCCCCAGGTGTTTTCCGTTTTCCATCTGCTGTTATGCCAGGCTTCAGAGCTCAGTATGAGACTGCTCTACATGCTCATGCTTCCTTCCTGAAGTGCTTTCTGCAAGGCAAACAGCAGCTTGCCAGGTGATCTGTCTTGGTGTGCCGGATCTTAGATGGTACCTTTGAGCCCCAAGCTCCTGCAATAAATCTTAGTTGGATTTGGGCAGTCTGGCCCTTAATTCGTGTGTCATTTGGTTACAAAAAAAATCAAGATGAGTTGTGAAGGTGATTCCTGATGTAAATAACTCGGTTTGTTGAGTAACTTTGCCTTTGGTTTTGTGCTTCAGAGTCCCTGGAGCCCACCTACCAACAACTGCAGAAGATGAAGCTGGACAAGAGCCCCTTTGTTGTGGTGTCTGTGATCGGCCAGGAGCTCCTGACTGCGGGCCACCATGGGGCCTCTGTGGTGGTGCTGGAGGCTGCCCTGAAGATTGGCACTTGCAGCCTGAAGCTGCGGGGATCGGTGTTCTCTGCGCTGAGCAGTGCGTACTGGTCCCTTGGGAACACAGAGAAAAGCACTGGATACATGCAGCAGGACTTGGACGTAGCCAAGAGTTTAGGTAAGAATATGCCTTTCACTCCTTGAGTGCTGGGTTGGGACAGGTGGAACAAATCAAGAGCTAGATTAATGATTGGTATCTCTCTGGAACGCTCAGGTTTCTGTGGGGTTTTACAAACTGCTAAATCCAATCTGAGACTCCTGAAATGTGGAGACTGCAGGTTTGTGCCGCCCTATTTGCCTGCCTGTGTGAAGGGGCAGATGATCAATGAATGCTAGGGTTTTACACGGTCTTCTAATTACCTGATGTCATGTATGTGGGAACTGCTCTTACTCCCTGTGTAGACTTATGCTCAAAACCATACATGAGTCTTAAATGAAGCCATCTGTTTTTCCAAAAATTCAATGGACAAAGGTACTCAGTCTGAGATTCCGGGGCAGTAGCCAGGGAAGGAACAAAACAAGAATGAGACAACGATGAAGAAAGAGTGTTTAAAAAATAACCAAATTCAAAAATCCCTCTCGAGTATGGTATGTTCTGCACAACAGTGGGAGCATTCAGCTTCTCAGGGTGTTGTGGGAGAGCAGGCAGATACGAGACAAAGGCCCAGTCGTGGACAGGTGGAGGACAGTGCCTGAAGGTTCAAGCCAGGAGCACTCACTGAGAGCACAGGGACTGCTCTCTTGAAGATGGCCATAGATGTTCTTTGTACATCTGAGCTAAGCTGTGCTGCAGAATTGTTTTCTGGAGAAAGCTGACATGCTCTGTGCTTGTTCCTGGGCCATTGACTAAACTTTACAGCAAGGAATAAACGGGGAGCAATGGGAAATTGCCAGGTGTTAGACCAAAGGAGAAAGTAAAACAATTCTAAAAATAAGGTCGATGGCAACTGTAGAAGTTTCCGAAGGCCAGCGAGGAGGAGAGTTTGGCTGTGTACTAAACTGTTCTGATGCTACTTGTCACAACGTGTTCCAGTGTTCTCACTGGATGCTTCCAGCAGTGCCTGTATGAGCTAACCTGTGTTTTGTTTGCATGTGACACAGGTGACCAGACGGGAGAATGCCGAGCTCATGGTAATCTGGGCTCTGCATTCTTCTCCAAAGGAAATTACCGGGAGGCCCTTACTAACCACAGACATCAGCTGGTGCTTGCCATGAAGCTCAAGGACAGAGAGGTAGGAAGCTTCTTAAATAGTCTGAGCTGAGAGTCAGCACTGTGTGATTTTCCGGACAGATACGAACATCTCAAAAAACCTTGTCTGTCTGCCCCGTTTTACTCCAAGAATTTGGAAGCTACGTGATTTCTCTTCCCAGGTGCCAGCTTGCCTTTTGTCAAGGAAAGTCTTTGTACCAGTAGATACAGTGTGTGAGTGCAAGGGGCAGGATGTTTGGTTTGTCTTTTTGCCTCCCTCATCTCTAGTCTCCATGAGCTCTGAGCAGGTCCTTTCGCCTCCCTCTCCCTTCCCCACTGTGTTCCCTCAGCACAGAGGCTCTGGAGCTCTGGCACTGGAGGTAGAAGCTGCTGCTGGATCAGTGTCAGTCCCACACGGCTTCAGTGGAACCCTCGTGTCCTCAGTGCGTGATACAGGTGCTACCAGTCCAGACTCTGTTAGGCTGCACCCTAAGTTGTACCTAAGTTGTACAAGAAATGAGCAAGATCCCTGTCCCCAGTGTTTGCGTAAAATACTCTTTGTATAAACACCTGTGAAAAGAAAAAGAACCTTTGCAAGCCTGAAAACAAATTGTTGTGTAGACTGTAGGGGTTGCTAGGACTGGGTCTGCTTTGCCTTGACCGTTTGCCATTCAGCTCCTGAGGCATTAGACTGGGCTCCCTGCCAGTGCAGGGAAGTGGGCTGCACGGACTGAGCAGGCTGTCCCAAGGGATTTCTACCAAAAGTTCACTGTAAGGACAGAATCATATTCTAGTGCATTTTACAGGTACAAAACCTATCCCCCCCTTCAGGGATTCCCCTCTACTGTGAATGGGAAGATGGGGTCTGGTGGTCACAGGGCAGGTGCAGGGAGGGGCTAGAGGCAGCAGGCAGGTGAGAATTCATGTAAGCACAAGTAGTTTTGGGGGAGATTTAAAAACCGAGGAAGATCAGTTTCCCACTGGTAAGTCATGGAAAAAATCCACTTGAATTTGCTGAGTGCTTTACTGAAATATTATTTGATAAGTTGAATATCAAGTAAGCCTTGGAGAAATGCATCTTTCAGTAGGTTGTGGAAGGACTGTGACTGGGGGAGGGACCTGTTAGACGCTTTCTTGATTATTTTACCAGCTGGAAAACTTCCTGAATTATTCCTGATTTCCTTGTTTCTGTTCACGCAGAGCAGAAAAGCTGTTACTTGTCATTGTTTTTGCAGTTTTCTCGATCGGGGTCCCTGTTGCTGCTAACAGTGTAACCTGCGTGGCTGCAGCTCTTCCGTGGGGTTTCTGCAGCAGCAGATCCCCTGTTGTGGGGGCTGGAGGAGCGGCAGGAGAGTTGCTGTGCTGGTGGAAGCACAGCAGCCCCAGAGCCCAGGCTGGAACATTTCACTGACTTCAGGCCACTGATCTAAAAAGATCCCTCTGGAGAGAGTCAGGGAATGAGGGCTAATCATGATAGTTCTTAGTTCATGACACATCTGGGCACATAATTAACAGTTATTGACAACAAGTGACTACTTGGTTTAGCAAGAAAACTGAGCTTCTTGGATTTCCTGTAGGATGTAACCACAGGAAATTAATTTGGCGCTTTCTGATGACATCATCTTGACCACAGAGCTTCCTCTGAACAAAAAGCTGTTTTTCTTGGCCTCCTTTGCAGACATTTTTATAATGCAAATGTTATAAAGTTGCAATAGGGCTGATGTGAATTCCACCAGAAGGGAATTTGGTGTACGACTTTAATGAGGTAATTGTTTTACCTCGGACTGTACAGAGAATTGGCAGAGAAGGTAAAAAGTACTCGTGTGTATGGGTTACTGCTGTCTTCAGAGGGACTGTCAGGTTCTGAGGCTGCAAATGTTTGTACCAGGGGCTTCTGCTGGCTGTGTCACTCATAAACTGAGGAGGAGGTTGCAGAGGATCTGTCTGGAGCACTGAGGTCTGTCTTCCCCTGCGTGGGCATAGAGAAGGGAAGCTGTCAGCTGAGCAAGGAATCGTCTCAGCTGTTCACAGCGACTCAAGATTTTAAATGTTTTTCTTCCCTGGCGTGGGGAGTCTGTGCAGCTCCTGTTACAAGCACTGTATCGTGCTGAGCACAGGCCGTGTGTCCAGGCAGACCATTCGCTCTTTCAGCCACTGTGAGGAGAAGTTTGGGCTGTTTTGTGATACTCGTGCCCAGAGAGAGCGTGAAGCAGGTGTAGCTGGGGTTTGGCATACCTGTAGTGTCTCCAAGAGAGACCGTGGGGTGTTGAACATACATTTGAATTTGGTCTGTGCAGACAAGAGAGAACACTGGTTCTTAGGGAGACACTGTGAAGGGCACCATGCGACAGCCATCTCAGGTAAGGGATGTGTCAGATTTTTTGACCAGCTGCAGTGCCTGGTCAAGAAATTCAGATGAGCTAATTCTCTGAGATTGTTTCTGAAAGACTTAGCAGACTTGAAAAGGCGGTTGATTCAGGAAACCAGGAATCATAAGGGACTTACTCGGTCTTCCTGTCTGTGCATTCCTTGGTTCCTGTGGAGCTCTGCAGATGACCCCTGTGCTCAGTGGGATACCATCCTGAAGAGGGTGACAACAGAAATGAGGGGCAGTAGAAGACAGGATGGTAAGCAGGACCATCTAGGAGGACAGTTGCCTCTTCTGATGGAGATGAGTGTGGAAGCCCAACACTGAGATGGTTTGATGCGGATAAAGACAAAATAGCAGTGCAGGTTGGTAGTCTGTCCTTTCTCTGTGAAGATGAAGCAGAGGAGATTTCACTGTGGCCTGCTGCAGACATTGGGAATGTGGTTGAGAATGACCTGGCTGCAGAGGAGTGAAATGTTGTCTTTACTTCCTTGCTGCTTGGTGATGCATGGATAACGAGTCACAGCCCTGTCCTACACTGGCAGCAGCATCATGTTCTTGTGATGCATTCGGTGCTCTCTGTGAGTGAAACGTCGGTGCACACTGTCCAGCAGTTCATGTGCTGAGGAAATAAGTGTTCTGGTAGCTTGAGCTGCTGCTCTTTTTTCCAGTCACTATTTAGTGCCCTTGAAAGGGCTGATAGTTGTACAAAGAGAGGTTCCCTAAAGCAGCAGCCAAAGCACCGGGATGTGTCAGAGGAGAAGTGACAGACGGTGTCAGCAGGGAAGACTGCATCACGTTATTTTAGCTCGTTGTCTTTTGCCTGTCACAGAAGCTGACTCTGATGAGCAGCAGAAACTTGCAGCCTGTTTCTTCTCAGAGTGGACTAAAGCCTGAACATAATGGAGGTGCAGAATGTTATGTTTGTACTTTATTTTTTAATTAATTGCTTTGTTTTTAGTGCCAGGTAACGTGATCTTCTGGAAGCCATCAGGTAACTCATGTAGCGTGTGTTGATGCCACATCACAAGCTGTGATTTAAACAAGGGTTATGCAGCTGATGAGCTATGCCAGGATCAGAGGAAAGAATGCAGTAAAAATGTAAGTGTAAAAGCTTGTGATGCCTGTAACACCAGTGCCCTATGTCCCTTTTCATCGTTAGCTGCTGCTCAGGTGTGCAGAACTGTCTTGTATTTGGCGTTCTATAAGGTCAGAGTGCCAAGGTAGAGCCAGTGGTGCATTATCTCTTGGAATGGGTTGGAGTGGCCCTTTTTACTGATCGTTTGGAAGGTCCTGTGTTCCTTCCAAAGCATTTAATTTAGAGAAGTACTGCTTGAGTGTTGGAGCTCTGAGGGCTGACAAGCAGAAATGGACGGGAAAAGGAAAGCTGTGGAGCCCCTTCTTGGGTCCAGTGTCCAAACCCTCACACAGGCTGTGCTTGAATTCTGCCGTGCAGAGGCCATGGACACCACAGGGACTCCGCAGTGTAATAGCTCCCTTCTCTCCTGGGCCCTCAGACGCCTTCGATTACAGCCCTGCTGTTCAGAAATAGCAGTACGGCAAGATCATAAAGTAACCATCATGAAATGAATGCTTGTGTGAAAATGTGCTGCCAGCACAGAGCTCTTGGGAAGGATGCTGCTGCCAGAAAGCCACTGGGCGCTGGCAGCTCCCACGTGTTGGCTGGTGGGCACGTTTGGAGCTGAACTGGGCCTTTCCTTAGGATGCAGGGTCCCTCTTTGGGAGTGAACAGAAGGTGCTGGATGAGGAAGACTATTGTCTGTGCTCCTGGACTCTCCCTGGGACTGGGATGAAGATGCAGCCAAGTGCCTCAAGGCTGTTTCCTGCTACCCCTTTTCTCAGGATTGTGGCTGAGGGAAGGGCAGAGAGTGGAGGACAGACTGTCAATGCCATCTTGCCCCTGGGTTGGCTTGTGGTGCCTAACAGCTTGCAGCCATTCCTGGCCCAGTTTTAAAGGGATTTCCCCCCACCTCCCTCTAGAAGCAGCTATTTGTGGCAGGAGTAGGTGCAGACCTGCTGTGGCTCAGTGCCCTCTTGTTACTGACCCTTTGTGTCTGGGGCTGCTGGCTGCTACCCCTGGACATCTCCATGAGCATATGTGGCTCTGGGAATTCTCTGCAGCAGGCAGGTATGCTCAGTAACTGATGAGCCAGGTTTTACTGTCTCAAGATGCTTTTTAAAACGATTGCAGATGTAAGGCAGAGTTCATGTTTCCAGCTTCAGCAGATTTTGTTCAGAAAGGCTGACTATTTGCAGCAGAAGGGCATGATGAAGATGATTATTAGAACTGGGTGGTTAAGTGGCATAGAAGAAAGGTGTTTACTAAGCAGACTCTGGTGGGTTTTCTTTGTCACCTTGCTCCGACATATCTGTGAAGATTCTTGTGTGGCAGGGGAAACATCAGAATGCAGAAAGTCCCGTTGTAAAGAGAAACCATGAGCTCACAGCCCAGGAGACTCCAGAAGCTGGCTGGGTGCTCTTGCTGCAGAGGGCATTGCCGTGGAGCTGGCAGGGACCACTGGCCACTGTGCATCCCTGGAGGAGGAGCGTTGGCGAATATGGTTACTGGGACAGACATAATCCCTGGCTGGATTCATTTGGGAATTTGCAGATTCTGCAACTGTCTGAACATACTTTGTGAGCAGCTCAGCCAC